AACACACTCACAACCCAACCCAACCCAAACCCTTCATTCCATTCCATTCAATCAACTAAATCTCGAATAAAGATTCACGAATGAATTCTGAAGCGAACGGACTATTAAGTATGAACATTTCAGATCTATTGTCTACCTACCTATATACCTACCTATCTACATTTTTAATACCTTCCCCTCCACCATCACTTCTCTTCTTGAATAACATCGAAATCGAAATTTAGACTGAGACTGAGACCGAGACAAAAATGAAAATGAGAATGAATATTAAACCGACACAATATTCTCCCTATTCCATTGATTTCCCCATCTCTATCATGTATAGCCCCGAGATTCAAGACTCCTCAATCTACCCTCAAACCCCCCCCCCAAGTTTCTCTCTCTCCTTTCACCCAGAAACAAGCAAGCAAATAAGCAACACATACATAGACATAAAGAGTAATTAACAAACAGAAATGTACTTATACTTGCGTACACGCGTCCGTACATATATATGATGTAACATGATGTAAACTCATTTATCTTGTATGTAATGTGATTCCTCTCCTCTCCTCTCGATTTCGTAACTTTGTGTATGGATGTATGGATGTATATGTACAAGTTTTCTTCCCTGCATGCTCCTTCTTTCTTCCTCTCTGGCCATCCTATCGTCTTGTCTTGTCGTTGTCTTCTGCTTTACTTATTTGAAAGTTCGGCATGGGTATCTGGTTTTTGTTAGCTGGTCATGTCGCATCGTATCATATCATATCATGTTATGAGTATCATCCCCCCATTTCCATCTCCATTTCCATTCCACCTGCAATTCCCAATCCAGAACTCTTCTCAGAAGCCCCCCCCCCAGACCCCAAAAGAAAAAAAGAAAGCCAAACTTACTCCTCAGGATACGCATTTTCCTCCGTCAAATGATACTTATCCCCCTCCACCCTCTTACTCGGACTCACACTCGCAGGCAAAGGCGGCAATCCCCCTCTACCAAGCATCTCCAACGCACCCCCCGCACTCTCCCTCTCAAAAAACTTTGCCAACCCTCCCTTCCCCTCCTCCCCCACCCTAACCAACTCCTTCACCCCCTCCTCCCCAACCAGCTCCTTGCGAGGCGCAGCCTCACTTCCTACACTCAACAAACCCACCACATCACTCTGGGCCACAAAACTCAACTGCGGATACGAGCGACGGGAATCGCGCTTCCAGTATGGATTCTCGGCGATGTCACCCGCGGGGAGGGTAACAGGGTCGATGAAGGAAAAAGGTTCATTGGATCCTGGAGGTGGATTGCGGAATTGTGGGTTGAGGGGTACGCCGTTGGAGCGGGTGGGATCGACGGCGAGGAAGCGACGGATGGTTTCCCAGATACCGGTGGATTGGAGGGTGTGTTTCTGGGAAGGAATGTTAGAGTTGAAGTTAAATTTGAGATTGGGGCTTGAGGTGCCGGGGAGGAGATGGATGGAGGTTAAAGAGATAGAGAAGTAAATACCTTGTGAACGGGAATAACACGATTAGCGGCTTGAGCCACCTTTGCCACGGATTGTGATGCCATATTTGGAATGCGATTGGGATTCCACGGCGTATGGGTTGGTAATTGAATTGGTATATGGATTGAGTGTTCTCGATACTTATGAGCCTTGTCTGTAGTTCAAGTTCACATTCGCGAAAGTGGTCCGAGCGTCAACGGGTTTTGGAAATTGCGAGAGTTGGATTGGATGAGAGGAGGGAAGCTCTATATGATAATTGTATTAGTTACTTCTTCCCTTGATACTTATTAGAATGTTGTCTGTCTATATACTAGGTAATAATTCTAAGTGTACCTATGTCTTTATGGTTTTATTGTATAGAAAAAGTTGTGAAGTTTGACTTAGTATTGTACTTGTACAGATATCTACAAAAGCATCAATCGAGCTATGTATGCACCTAGAATTCATGGCCATGAATGCTATGGCATATGAGTTTCTAGAAGATCAAATGAAAATCATTTCCCTGGTATCACTATCAGACCTGATGGAAGAATGTTTTCATAACATACTTTCACAATCTCATTATGATCAATATCAACTGTTGAAAATGGTATGGAGTTGAGAACCAAACCCATGCATAATATTATCTTTCACAATATGCCAGCCACCACAGCACCTATCCTAATATCTTCCCCAAGCAATTACTGAATATCCCATTAAAGTTGAATTTTCTCCCTTCCATTCCTCTTTTTAACTACTCTCCTCCCATGGTAGAGAGAAAGTACCAACCCATTCCTCAACCTCACTTCTCAATTGTACAATCTCTCTCTCATTCTCGCCCTCGCCAAGATACTCCAAGAAAGCTTTTACACTACCAGGATTCTTTCTTCCCTTTGCCTCTGCTGCTTCCCTTGCACTTTTATCTAACCGCTGAGTTATGGTAACAGCTCTATTTACAACATCGGCAACCCGTACGAAATCTTCAGGTTGGAAACCGCGAGTTGTCATTGCTGGTGTACCCATTCTTAATCCACCAGGTTTAAGGGCGGATTTATCACCTGGAACTGTATTCTTATTGGATGCTACTCCAACAAGTTCAAGAACACGTTCAACTCGAGCACCGTCAACTCCTTGAGGTTTTAAGTCAATGAGTACAAGATGATTATCTGTACCTCCAGAGACGATGGAGTAACCGAGACCTCCTTTATCTTTCGAGTCACCCAGACGCTTTGCAAATGCCTTTGCATTCAGTAAAACTGCTTCTTGGTAAGCTCTAAATTCAACACTTTGTGCTTGTTTTAATGCAACTGCCAATGCAGTGATAGTATGGTTATGAGGACCTCCTTGATGTCCTGGAAATACTGATGCATTAATAGGATCTTCAAGGTTCCACATCTCTTCTTCTTTTGTCTTTGGATTAACTCTTCTAACTCCTTTTCGGAAGAAAATCATAGCACCTCGAGGACCTCTGAGTGATTTGTGTGTAGTAGTTGTGACGACATCCGCGTATTCAAAAGGACTTGGAATAACTTTTGCGGCAACAAGACCAGAAATATGTGCCATATCAGCTAATAGATATGCTCCAACCTTGTCGGCAATTTCACGCATACGCTCATACTCAATGAGTCTACTGTACGCTGATGTGCCGGCAACAATAATCTTTGGTCTGTATAATGTAGCGATTTCCTCCAATTTAACGTAGTCGATAAGTCCTGTACTTTCATCCAATCGATATGGTAAAGTTTCAAAGTATTTTGAGATAGCGGAGATTTTTTTGGTAGGAGTTTGATATCCATGAGAAAGATGACCACCGTGAGGTAAATCCAATCCCATTATTCTGTCATGTGTATTGGCGAGAGCGGAATATGCGTAGAGATTTGCGGGAGAGCCGGACAGTGCTAGATAGATTATGAGCGAGGATTTCCCATATCAAATGAAAGACATACGTTGAACATTGACACCCCATTCTGACTCTTTCAACCCAAAAGTCTGTAGAGCACGACTTTGGCATAATCTTTCAGATTCGTCGATGAACTCATTTCCTCCATAATATCTTGCTCCTGGATATCCTTCGGAATATTTGTCTGCCAGAAAGTCAACATTGACTCATTCAACCATCGAACTCCAAACGTACTTTGCATAACACTTCCCAATGCATCTAAAACAGCTTGTGATGTGAAATTTTCGGAAGGAATAAGGTTGATAAAGTGCTTCTGCCTCCGTTTTTCCTATTCATAATGCTTTAGTCTTTACGTATCATCAATCGAGGGGTCTGGCGAGGGAAGTCGTACATTTTGGAGAATGCTGAAGACTGCTGGATCTGCATGTTCAAGGTTTGCTGAAAGTAGCTATCACGAATCGAATCAGCTCTTTGCTACTTGTGAATCCAATGGACAGGTAGCAAACCTTTTGTTGACTTTCCATAGTCATTCGACTACTACTCGCCGCTCGTCTCGCGCCACATATTGAAGCTGCTGCTCTTTGCGCAGTATTAGCCCTGAACGCAATTCTTGAGGCTCCTTTAAAGAGCGACATGATTTCCTGCATTTGAGTTAGAGACTCCAGCTTTTCAAGGGCTGAGAATGAAAAACATACGGCTAGACTATAAGCAATTGCTTGCACCGAAAAGTAGAGCTTTGTTTGTCAATATGCACTCAAGTGATTTCCAGATCCCCGCCATCGGGAATAAGCTAGCACCTTATCCGGTTGAGTATCGGAACTCAAGATATGCCGATCTCTCCCCTCAATCTTCATTTATTTTCTGATAACAATTTATTTTCTGATAACAATTTATTTGAAATGATGTGATAAAATGACATGATGAATTGAATGAGATAAAACGAAGTGGAGGAATAGTCGCCATCATTGATATTTTCCAAAGCTACAACTTCTGCTATGAGCGCAGAACAGAGTTTCAATAATGACGGGATCGTGTAATTGGTCGATGAATCATTACACTCCTTGGTATCGTGAGAGGTAATTGCGTTGTCACCATTGATATCATTTCTCACATCTTTACATCCAGTTCACACTCAATCATGGAGACACATCAGAGGGGAGGATTTCGAAATTGGTGACGTAGTTGATGGATTTCTTATCGGCATATCATGTATGTATGTACGCTCGAACAAAATAGTGGATGATGGGTGTTGGCAGATTATAGAATGGGAGCGGATACAAAGACAATCTGGGGATGTGAGGGTCAGGGGCGTTGAAATGCAAGTTGAATAACTCAAGGAAATGGGAGGAAATGGAAAATTGGACTCAAAAAACATACACCACAATTTGAACCAAAAACTTGAGATTGTGTAGGACGGAATGGAGTTATCACCAAGGTAATCATGATATGGAGAAAAGTAGGTATCGTTTACACGTTTGAACCGTCTGATTGCAAAAAACCATTGAACACCAAAGAATCTTGAGTGAAAGATCATGATACCATTGCCCGTGCGATAATGCAGGATATCAAAAGATATCGAAAGCAACCGGCCTGTATTATAAACCTTGCCAGATACACTCCATATGCTACCACCACAAAAGCCCAACCATTTACTTTGTCTCGGTCTCCTCTGCCTCGCCGAATTGAGCTGCCTTCTTGGCTTGGTTTCTCTCTGCCTTTCTCTCGCGGGCAGCCTTGGTCTTCGCACGCTTGGCGTCCATCTCCTCCTTGAGGAGTCTTTCACGTGCCTTCTCGGCCTTAGCTCTGTGGATCTATTGTATTCTGTCAGTTTGAGGGTTTCGATTAGCATGCAAGAGCCAATATGCTACTTACGTGTTCGACCAATGCACGCTTGTGCTTGAAAGTGTTACCCTTGCTCAAGTGGTAAAGCTCGTGGTAAAGGTGTTTGTCGATCTTGCCGCTGGCACGGTACTTGACTAAGAGACGTCTGAGGACTCTAAGACGACGCATCCAGACAACTTGGCTAAATAAATATTAGCCCAACATTCCTCTTCCATAATCTATCATGAATAATCTATGTATTTCTTGATAATTTTCTCGGAGTGGCGAATGTCGTACCTTGGCATACGGGCATCTGCGGTACCCTTTCTCTTACCGAAACCACGGTGTCTACCAATTCTTCGTGCAGCGGTGAGTTCACGAGCGCGTGCGCGGGAGTGCATGGTGACTGGCTTGCGGATGATGAGGCCATCGGAAACGAGTTTGCGGATGGTTTGACGGGAGTTGGCGTTGGAGATTTCGCTGGTCTCGTTGGGGTCGAGCCAAATCTTGCGCTTTCCGCAGCCGACGACGGAAGCCGCCAGACGTTTCTGAGTTGTAAGGTTGACCCTATCGTAAGAAAAAAGAGTCAGCTTTTGATGCTTTCGATGTTCTCAAAGACATGTTGTTGGTATCGCTCCAAAAAGGTTCGCAATGTATCGAATCAAACAGAAATGATCGATTGAATGGAATGAGAATATCTAGCAACAGCGTGGGCTTACATCTTGACTGAATTCGTGGTCGTCGGTGGTGGTCGTCGATATTGTCGTTTGTCGATGGCGCTCGATGTTCAAGATTCAATGCGTGGTCAAGATTTCCCTCGCTAGAGTTTCCACTAGTGACTAATCAAGAAAAATCTAGGGCTGTCCCCTACCCACAATCTAAGAAATTTGATCAAAAACGAAAAACCCTTTAAGAATTGCAAAAAGAATAGAAGTTTTGAAATTCATTTATTAAGTTTGGAGCCAGGTGAAAGTACAAAGGAGGAAACAATTGGTTGTCTTGTTCAATTGTTCAATTGAAATTTCCTGCAGATTCATAAATCACGTGAAGCATGCCAATCCATCCTAGGATTAGTCATCACACTTCCAATTTGTTTTCGGATCCGCGGAGCGGCCCAAGGGAAAGTAAGTTCAACACCAAAAACAAAACGAACAGAACCATTTGTTAGATTCGCTCATTCGATAATCAAAGATCGCCAATATATTCACAAGCAAACTTGGCAATCAGATAACTGTTATGATTTTTGGCGTTTCGCGTTAATTTTTGCTTTTTTTTTTTCAAATCGCAAGGTCGTTGGAAAATACTCGATGCTAAAATGATTGAATTAGTTGATCGATGTGATCAAAGAAACCTGAAATATACAAGCGATTCGAATTGAAATTCATATCTAATGATTTTTACTGGCAATGCAAATGCTTTTCTTATGCTGAATTTAATCATCACATCAAATCGTAACCTCATTTCCTTATGCATCAAAAGCCTTTTCGCCCAAATCCACCTTTCCAATACTTGAGATCTCCTTTTCATCATCAACCTCGTCATTAGAAAGACCCAGTCCACCCTGTCCACCTTCGGCTTCTCTCCTCTCTCGTGCTGTGTTGCCTAACCTCAATGCAACCCGCTTAAAGTAATCCTGCATGCTTCTCTTTTGATTCGGTGCCAGTTCTTGAGCAGTGATATATTTATCAAATACCTTGCTTTCCTCTTCAACAACATTGAACAATGCGAGGAACGCTGCTTCTGCTGCTAGCTTAATGGGGATGATAGGATCTCGAACACCTGCAAATACAGGTGTAGCGAGTAAGGGAAGATGTGGCCGAACTGCGTCTGTTTGGTGGCGACAGATTGTGCGAATTACTACAAGCGATAGACGACGAGCATCGGCCGTATTTCCTGGTTGAATCAACTTTGCTAATGATTCAAATATTGGTTTTGTCGTTTCGAATTCATGGTTGGCGGTCTCAGCAAGAAGGTATTTTCCAGCGGCGAGGATACAGTTTTCTGATATGAAGTCCTGAGAAATGGTTAGTCTTTGACCCTAAAAGTTGATACGATGTCACTTACATTTTTGCTTGCCATGCCTTGGCAAATGACTTCCGGTAAATCATTAGCAAAGGCAGTTTCCGTCAATGCGGATGGTGCTTCGGCAAGGACAGCATTTAACGCGAGAACTGTAGATGGAGTAAAGTGAGTTGTCACCACACGATTCTTGATTAGCCCTGAAGCGTTTTCGGGGGTTAGATTTTTGATCAATGCTGCGAGAAGCTTGGCATTAGTGATAGCCATAGACACATCATTATCCTCTGCGTCAGTATCGATCAACCCGAGTACTGCGCTGCGCGAAGCCTCTCCCATATTAGCACCAGCTTTGCTGATTACTTCATATAATGCCTTGAGCATGGCATTTCTAACTCCGGAGTCCGAAGTCCTTGAACCTGTAACTAGCTCGGCGATCAAAGGATCAATTCTTGGAGTCAAGGTGATCAAAGTACCCAAAGCTTTGGCAGCACGAGTTCTAAGAACTTCGCTCGATGTGTCGGCCAAAGACTTGGCAAATGTACGTTGCAATTGTGGAAGGAAGGGTTTCAAGAACGTCGGGATCTTCTCCAACAAATTGTTCAAAGTTAGAAGAATGGCAGCTTTAACGTCGACAGACTTTTCCGAAACTACACGGATAAGCGGACCAGTGATCTGAGTAACAAATGGTTTCAAAGAATCCCCACTTGTTCGGTCAACAATGTCGGATATAGCTAAGGCAGATTGTGTACGTTGTTCGGCAGTACCATTCATAAGACCATGTAAGAAGATAGGTAAAATGGCGTTGATACCCTTGGGCAATCCAAAGCCAGGTAAGTTGGATCCAGGGTACACCACGTGTTGTAAAGTCTGTCTTGTCGAATAAATGAGTGTTTCCATTTCTTCCTTCCTCAAGTGTTTGGTGAATTCGGAAAGTGCAGTCCAGGCGGCCTTGACAACTTCCGCATCTCCATCGTCGAATGAAACGAGTAAAGCGCGTACGATATCTTGGTTGTAACGAGAGTAGTCAACTGTAGCTGCGGCAAAGAACTTGGCAAGGCGATAGTCCACGTTTGCTCTTCTGCGATGATCATCGTGCTTTACTAATGCAAGAAGAACATTCATAGCCACATTGAGGCCATCAAACTCGTCGATGGACTGAACAACCGTGTCAAAGGATGTCTCGAGCTCTGACTTGAGATCCTCATCCTTGGAAGAAATGATGTTATCCATCAAAGAATTCAATATAGTAGGTAATCTTCTTGCCATCGCCGGTCCTGCAACGGTTGAAAGCGAGGCAAGTGCCCTGGCATTGAATGAAGATATAGGCGAGGTGGTAAGCGTTGGTATGAGGTTTGGAAGAATGATATTTGATCTTGTCGTTTCAGTTAATAAGGTCAGGAGTGCAGATAAGGCATTATTAGCCTCGCTTTCTGTGCGGAGTAAGCTTAAAAGATATGGCAAGACCTGGTCGACAGCCTTCTTGCCGAGAATTTGCTGTAGCGAATCGAAGGCTTCAGCTGCTGCTTCTCGGACTTCGTCATCCGAGTCTATCAAAGCAACTCTGACAACAGAGATCAATGTCTTCTCATGATCTTCCAAAGCCTCTGGGGAGGCTGATGAAATCAATTCACGAAGTGCAATACATATTCCTTGCTTAGCATCTGTATCTGTAGAATTTTGCAAACCATCCTCCAAGGTGGGCAATAGAGTTGAGAGAACTCCATCACCTGCTTTGCGAATCAATTCACCAAGTGCATTACCTGCAATAACCTTCTGCTCCATGTTGGAGCTTCCCAATCGTCGAATAATGAGTTGAGTGAGCGTAGGAATGAGCTCCTTAAGCGTTCTTGGACTCGCGACAAGAGCTTTCCAAACATTGACAGCAGCTGTTCGCACCAAGCCAGAAGTATCGCATCGGCAAATGTACAACGAGGACAATACCTTGTTGCGCTTCTCCTCACCAAGTACCTCGAGTAACGATGCACCAGCTTCTTGCGCACCTTCTTCGACCTCATCTTGTTCTGTATTCGCACTAATACCAGTAAGGTTGAACAACAGATCACCAACCAGCTCAACGGAACTGAGACGAATTCTGTAATTGTCGTCTGCCAGACCTCGCTCCAATTCTGGAAGCAAAAGATCAATAGCTCTCGTGGCGAAATTCTTGACAAGAAGACGTCCAGCTCTCAAAGACGTGTCACGAATTGATTCAACGTCGTCCGCCAGACCAGAGAGAATAGGTGGAATAATCTTACTAAGGTAATTGGCGAAACTGTTTCCGAAACATACGGGCAAGAATATGAAGAGCGACATGAAGCCTTCCCGAACGGAAGGTTTGGATGAAGCAACATTTTGAAGAATTGTTGGAAGAGTATCCTCGAGGCGGCTTGTACCCAATCCAGCAAGAACTTCACTGAGTGCTTGTGCAGATCCCAGTCGGTCACCGGCTCCAGTATCTGATTTGAGTGTTTGCATGAGACCTGGAATAAGATCCGGAAGAGCGTCTTCTCCCAATTTCTCGATGAGAGAACCCAGAGCTTTGGATGCAGTTGCACGAGTAGTTGGTACGGGGTCAACAATTGCAATCTTCAAACCAGCAACTAAGATCGGGAGATGGGATACGAGATCCTTTCTCTCTGTCAAATGAGCAAGACTACCAATAACCTGGGCAGACTTTCGTTTGGTTGCCGATCTATCACCCAAACCTCTCTCAAGAATACGAACAACGAGAGCAAGAGAAGGTGCGTCAAGATAATGAACGAAAGACACCTTAATGAGTGAGTCCAATGCATTGTCCGTGTACTTGGTAGGATCACTGAGAGCCTTGAGAAGGACATCGACAAGGCTCTTGATCTCAGGGTTATTGATAACTTCTCCGAAGCGCTTCAAACTGCGATTAGCAGCAAGACGGACCTCTTTGTGACTGTCATTCAATACACCCGTCAGGGGTGGAATGATCTCGGGAAGACTCTGGGCAAGTTGTTGCGGGTCAAGATACGCCATTGCACCTAGGAGATCACAAGCACCCTTTTTACTTCGCCATTGGTCGTCATCAAGACCATCAAGTAGTGTTGGCAAAATTTGTTTCACTCCATAAGAGCTCAAGCTTGCAAAACACACTTTTGCTGCTGCCAAACAACCTTCACGAACATCTGCGCTTGAGTCGCCGAAGCTCGAGAGCAGTTGAGGCACAATTTGAATGACGTAAGGCTCAAATATGCGACCGAGAATCATGGAAAGAAGTTCATAAGCCAATAGAGCTCCTTCTCGATGATTGACGTCCTTTTTATTGTCGATCGCACCTTTCAGTGTAAGCATGATTCTGTATTCTCGTAAAGCGGAGATTCCCTTTCCATTGACAAGACCTGCAAGACCATATGCTGCGCCACGTCGACCGGCGTATTTCTTCGAGTTGAACAGTCTGTCGAGAACTAATTGGATGTAGTCCAAAGTGTTCTCCTTGGATGCACGAACGAGTGGTGGCAAGCACTCAGCCACGGCATATTGTACCGTCTCAGATGGGGTGCTTAATGTCTCTAGAAGCCTGTCTACAACCTTCGGAACACGTTCATCGCCGGCTTTCAAGTGTTGCGCCAAGGCACCATACATGATGATAACAGCCTCGTTTACTCTATCGGAAAATTCAGAACCTTTGTCCGGTGTCTCAAGGGTACGTTCAAAAGTTTTCATCAATTCTTCCACTTTGTCCTTTCCATGAATAGCTATTATAGCTGTGGCAGACTCAACCATTTCTTCTCTGACAATTGAGTTTCTGTCGCCAAGTGGCCCTTCAATTAAGAAGTTGAGGAATGGAGTAAGGAGTGATTCGTCAAAGACTGTGGCTAATTCTCTGAATGCAAGTGCAATTCCATTTCGGGCTTCCCATGGATCCGACAGATCCATCTTCCTGGGCATACCGTACTCATCAAGCTGAGGAACTCGAGGCTTTGCCAACTCCGTATAAGAGGATTGCAGACGGCTAAGCACATCCTTGAATGTTGAAGGCTGCAATTTTACAGCCTCGGCGATAGATCTAGCTGCAGCTCGTCGAAGTTGCTTATCCATGCTTTCCAGATATGGTAGCATTCGGAATGGTGATTCGGTAGATATTTTGAACTCACTTTCCTCCCAGATTTCTCGCCCAAGCTCAACATTCTCGTCTACATCGTCATGGCATGCTAACCAGATTTCATTGGAAAAATCGAGCTCACTCATATCAATCTCTGAACTAATTGACTGTAATACCGAGGTTCGTACAGCAACTTGTGGAACAATGGCTCCTTGTGCAAGAATTGAGATCTCATTATCAGTAATGTTTGGTGCAATACATCTGCACAGATCTGTCAAGCAATCTTTGATTGCCTTGTAATGCTGATTGTAGGTCTGCATCGACGAAATTAGAGTGGAGAGAACTTGGTCCCGAGGTACCAAAACGTCGGAACAGGCATCAGTATGAAAAGAGAGGAATTCCAGGGCGAGAACAAGTTGGGCATCAGCATCATCGCTTTCTCCAAACCCACCATCTCGAAGTACTAGGAAGACGAGAGGAAGAACATAGATGAGAGAGACTGTATCAAATGGGCGTTGTTCTGCAGAGAATCTTAGGCGGTACAATACACGTGTGATAAGAGCTCCAAGTGGTTCTTGAGTTAAGGCCGGTGGCAACTGCGGAACATTCATAGCTCTGAGGGTTGCTAATCCAATAAACGAACGGAGTATACCTATACGACTAGAAACTCTTTCGGCACAAAGGATATAAGCATCTGGAGCAGCTGTACCAGTAATCAATCCAGCTCCAGCATTGATTACCTTTACCAAAGCTCTCACGGCAGGTCCCATCCACAGAGAAGCTTCTGTTGGAGGTCCTGTTGCAAGGCTTTTGATGATTCCAACTCCACGAAGAACTCTTGACTCTAGAGCTTGAATCTGGCGTCTAATTTCTGATTCTTTCGATAATTGAGCCTTAACTTTGGCTGTTTCCTCTGGAGTGAGCTTCTTCTGCTGACCCTTTTTCTTCGCTAATGAGGCTCGGAGATCTTCCTCCCATTTTAAAGTATCGTAATCCTTCGTGTTCTTGTTCGGGGTATGACTTTGAGCTTTAGATGCTAACACGTCTACAAAGGCAGTTCCCTCTGGAGTGCGGAAGATTGCCGCCTCCGTTGGACCGACACTGGCGAGCTCAGTCGCGTCTAGGTCTTGCTCTACTAGTTCAACAATTCGTGCTGTCATAACTTCTGGAGCGACGAAAGCAAGCTCAGCAGCGGCATTATAGGCAGCATCTTTAACAGCCTTGGATCGTGGTACTGCGGCAGAATCTTGAATGCTTGTGATATCGAGAATTTGCTTTAACAAAGCGTCTCCACTTTCTCTAGCAAGATTTCCAGGATCAACCTCAGCCTTCAGGCATAGCTCGATCCAACTTACTCTTGGCAGCAGTTCTGGTCGACAGATGATCAACAGTGATATCATTTGATCCTTAACTACCATCTGATCCACAGAACCACCCCGTCGTGTGATTTCCGCTGGTGTCAAACAGATAGCTTTCAACACTAAGTGCAGATTCTCATTTTCCGTTTTTGCTGATATTGGAGCACTGTCTTTTTCTCCAAGCTCAATAGATTGTAACCATCTCCACAACCAGATGTGATGATTTTGGATATATTGCCAGGAAAGCGAACATATAGCTGGGAAAGTAAATGAGAAGCATGTCTTCTGACATCATGATGTACATTAGGAGAGCATATAGAAATATGACAGCTTGAGACCACCCAATACCTGATAGGGATGCCGGGTCCAGAGAAGCAAGCTGATCCGGAAAGGCAAACAAGGCTCTAACAAACCACATGAAATCATCGTGGCTAGAAAGTTTGCTATAGATACGAGGATTTAGTAAGAATGATGGCTTGGGCTCCATGAGTAGTGATTGATGCGAGACTTGAGCCTTTTTGAGCGCTGCGTCAATCTTTGGACCCGAAATAACACCTAATTTTGTCTGTGAGATTGCAGCAAGAACATAAGCTGCAGTGACAAGGCCAGACTGAGCTGCAGGTATGGAATTCGCCGTTACTTCTTGCCAAATATCTACCAATGCTGTGATAGTCTCTTCTGCCAAAGCCTTTGATTCAGATAACTCAGCTTCTTCGGTATCCCATAGCAATTCTCCGAGGCGGATCGTCCATAGTTTCTTGGCGGGGACCTTTTTATCGGATATACCTTTTGTGAAGGTGTTAACGATGGATTTATCCAGGGGAGATTCGTTCTGCACTCTATTCTTCAAGTAATGTAACAAAGCAAATGTCTCTGCTAACAATGCGGCTTCGTTGGCTTCCTTTCCTGCAATTGTCGCAAGGCCAATAGCTGCCCGAAGGCATTCGAACTTGGAGACGGGTAATATTGCTAGCATTTTCTGCATAGTTGGCCCTCTGATCTGCTGCAGATACTTTACCCCTTTTAATGGTGTCAATTTTCTTCTGACACTTGAGCAATAGAGGTTTCATCATGACATTTGGGTACAATTGCTCTGAATGCAGAAAGTGCTCCTTTGACGAATTGTGGGATTGGTCGACTTGATATTAGATAGGATAGGTTTTAAAAGCTTGGATCGGAGAACGTTTGAGAGATCTACTGAGCTAGGTAGAGACTGGAAGAGTGGTGTGACAAGGTCGTTTAGTACAATCTCAGGAGCCCTTAGTAGCGCTTTCTCGAGGGACGGTACAATTTCTCGCTCGAAATCTTCCTGGGTGGCAAAGTCTAAGAAAAAGTCTTTCAGAGCACTGGCAATATGTGAAGGCAGTGGAGTCCTAGAGGCTATGATCTCGCGCGTATAATAACCGTAAATTAAAGACTTCTTGCTTTCTAGAACCACCTTTGCTTGCGGTTTCCTGGCGCATACTCCTGAGATTGCACCTAGCATCACAGCTTCTTGGAGGAGGGCTGAGCTTCTTGGAACTCAATTTCTGCACACTGTCCCCGATTGCAGTTTCGAATATAGCGCTTTGAAAAACATTCCGCAAACCCCGCCATGTAGTCGTGAGTGCAGACGGCCTATGTTCGATGTGATGCATAGTTCAAGTGCTCGCGCATTACCAGCCACGACGACTAAGCCCCAGCTCTTCCATCTGGCTTCATTAGTGGTTACTTGTAAGATCGCACTACAATATTCGACCAAAACAAACGCATTGCTTGGTGCCAGCCCTCCCTCTTAGTTTCGGCATCTAATGCATTTAAAAAACTTGACAGAAACTCAAAAGCGCAATCAGAATCAAATATATGCCGTATGCACAACTGGACAGCAAGTCGCGAATCTCTGTCGTGGTAATATGGATATGTGGAAAATAGAAGTTGAAGAAGAACGGGGAAAAGTTTTGGATCGAGCTCTATAAACAAAGCATTATTAGCAGGTAAGCAAAAGTAAGGGCATTGTTCGACATTTTGTGCATTTGCGTACCTTTCTTTGAAAGTCTTTCCTCGATCAATTTCAACTGTCCCAATCGTAGATTTGTTGAAGAGGAAGTGAGCGCAGCCTTTGTAAGAGTAAGGTCCAAATCCACCCCTCATTATGACCATTAATCTCACCTCAGACATGTTGTATACCTTCAAGATCTCTCATGACCTAATGGTCTTTTCAAGTATCTTCTCAAGTATCTCAATAGTGTACTCTGCGAAACTGCTCGTATAATTGTTTACACCTAGTATCTGTGTGCAATTCTCGAGGGGTGAACTGAACTGACTGACTGGATTAATGTTATCCGCGGCCTCCGAGAAAAAAAGTTGGAGAGAAATGACGACTCTAGCGATTCCACCGTACAGAGCAACAGATTACAGTAAAGAAATACTGACCCCCACTATAAATCGGCCCCGCGTTTGGCATTAATATTTGGCGTTACGAGGCTGCATTGTTTTAGGTACTTTGACATTCACATCGAACCAACAAATTTAATCACCAATTATCGAAACATATCTAGAAGATGGCTATGGCAAGAAAAAGAAGAAGCCAGCTACAAATCCTGCAGAGGATTTGCTACCACCTCGATTGCCTCGAAGCCCAAAAATGAAGCTATCGAAGCTATCAAGGAAAAGGATGTAGCAGATGACGCTATCGACACAACTGAGAGTCAACAATTGGGGGAAAAGGCTGGTGAAGTCGTAGGGAATGGATCTTCAAACCAGGATTCTAATTTGACTCCCGAAGAGTTCGAAAAGCAACTCGAGAATTCCGAGCTTCAAATCCTCGTCGAGAAACATTCGCAGAAGTCAAAGAGAGATGCGCTTCGTCAAAAGACCCGATTAGAAACCGATCGCAGAGTGCTACGAGGCCAATCAGAAACTCTTAACACGAGGAAATGGTTACCCCCTGAGCTTATGGAAGAGATCTTGGATTTAATCAAGATGGAAGGGCGATTTTCCGGTTCAGCAGCAGATACAACTTCGTTAAAGCAGGTATCAGAGGAGGAGCTTGCAATTCGACTTTGGACTTTACAACAAGCTCTCGTAGGGGCTGGCTTTGTAACAGATAAAGTATTATTGGCTCTCCAACATGTTTTGGATATTTCGGATAAGATTGGCAGTAGCAACAAGGATTCAATCTGGGGCATGGAAGAATCGCTGGAGTGGCTTTCCCGTGAATGTTCAAGAGAAGAATTGCCTGATTACCAGAATGCACACCGCAGATTGGCGTCTTCGCAAAAGTCTCAAATGGTATGTATATCCAGAATGTTTTTTTAGTTTACTAGAATTAATAAATTGTCTTCTAGGTACACCGTTTGACAGCCCTATGGCCTCGGGAACTACTACACCAAGAATCGACTCAGATACGAGGCATTTTGCATCAATTCAAAATGGAGGAAACACCCCTCGAAATGGAAAGAAGCAAGAAAACAAGAAAGTAGCCATAGTAGATTATGACAGCGATATTGACCCGGAAGATCTCCTCCCAGTATATCTGAAAACTAAAGAAAAAATCTTCATACTCCAAAACTCGAAGTCTACCACTGATACACGTTCAAATGGCAAAAGGGGTGCTCCGAAGTCACAAAACAATGGAAGTCCCGTTGATATAGAGTCAGCGAGGTTAGCAAGAAAGCTTAAGAAAATAGAGGACGATGTCTTGTTTGACAAATACCCTGCAGAACTACAGTGGAACGAACAAAGAATAAAGCTAGAGAGAGATGCAGCTACCTTGCGCGCTTCTGAATTGGCTGCAGATAAGGAAGCACAAGAGTCTGACATTTCAGTGGATTCTGATGACGAAATTAGCAGAGAAGCAGCTGCGATTGGCAAAGCCATGCTAGAAGAAACTGGTAGCGACGACGATGCTGCGCTAGCTGATCTTTTTGCTAGCTTGCCTGTCAACGAAGTGGATCCGTTGACTGGCAAAAGCAGTACGGTGATTAATGGTAAGGATGGGACGAAGGTTACTGTTCGAGATTTTGGAAAATGGTCAGGCGTCAACCCAACTAGAGTGCTTGAAGAAGCCTGTCGAGCAAGGTAAGGGGCACAAAAATTACTAGGAATGAACAACGCTTACCAAAGGATAATAGGGACTCTTCAGTGAGATTAGCTTACACTCTCATTTCTGATACCAGTTACTCTAATCGTCACAACCTCCGAATCACCTGGTCAAAATCACAAGATCCACTTGCAACTACACCCCTCCCACAGGTCGAATATGCCTCAAGTCCGAAATTACAAAGTTTTACTATGGTCTCTGTATCCACCCCCGACTCCCGCCAATCTGAAGCGTATATTGCTACAACTGCGTTATTTCTTATTTTTGGGTCGTCAGCAAAAGAAGACAAAGTTTCTCTACGTTTACCAGCGGCATGGCGTGATCTTTGGACCGAATTTGCCGAGATTAAGAAGGAAAAGTCGGACGAAGAAGATCGAAATGCTATCAAGACGTTCCGTGATTTGGTTCGCGCAAAACGAGATCAAGAATTAGAAGATGGTGTTTTGATACATGGCGCTTTCCGAAATCGTGGAGCGGCCAGGACGCCTGGTAACGAGGAAGCTTCCATAGACAAAGGTCCCAAGACAGGATTTGCTCCCGAGGCATATCAGAGAATATGGGCTGAAAAATCCTCGTCGCACAGTTATCAACATATGCTTCAGTCACGAATGCAGCTGCCTATGTGGTCGTTCAAAGAGGAGGTACTCGGTGCTATAGATCGCTCACAAGTAGTTATTGTTTGTGGTGAGACTGGATGTGGAAAGAGTACGCAAGTCCCAGCATTTATTCTGGAGCACCAATTGTCCAGAGGAAAGCGTTGCAAAATTTATTGCACGGAGCCTAGACGTATTTCCGCAATCTCTCTTGCTCGCCGTGTGAGTGAAGAGCTGGGCGAACGCAAGAGCGATCTTGGCACTCCTCGATCACTGGTAGGCTATGCCATCAGACTCGAGTCTAATACATCAAAAGAGACTCGACTTATATACGCTACTACCGGAATTGTGATGCGAATGCTCGAGGGCTCAAATGACCTTAGAGATATTACGCATATTGTCCTTGATGAAGTTCATGAGCGCACAATAGACAGTGATTTCTTACTTATTGTCCTTCGAAAACTATTGGTGCGGAGACCGGATCTGAAAGTTGTTCTAATGTCTGCAACAGTCGATGCCGATCGCTTTTCAAAATATCTAGATGGCGCTCCCGTCTTGAACGTTCCAGGCCGTACATTCCCCGTTCAGGTCAAATATCTAGAAGATGCTGTTGAGCTTACAGGATTTTCTCTAGATAATGGTCTGCAAGAAAAGTATACTGACCTTGATGACGATGTCGAGCTCGCAGATGACGTCTCTAGCGAGACGACGAAGAGTGAAAGTACGAAGGCTCTAAGAGGATATAGCAACAAAACTCGAAACACTATTGCACAATTCGATGAGTACCGGATAGAATTTGATCTGGTAACTCAATTAATCGCAAAGATCGCTGCTGATGACCGATTGGCGCCGTATAGTAAAGTAAGTTCTGTCCATATCAATGCTCCGATCTGCATCCATTGATGCGAACCAGATATTCTGGTATTGCACCAAAGATCACATCCAGCTTCAGACCCTTGAGTGTCACTTTGAATCATGCTAACTACTTAAAGGCCATCCTTGTCTTTCTTCCAGGTATTGCTGAGATTCGAACCTTAAATGATATGCTTTGTGGACACCCGGCATTCTCGTCGGACTGGTATATATACCCGTTACACTCCACCATCGCAAGTGAGGATCAAGAAGCTGCCTTCCTCGTGCCGCCACCTGGAATCAGAAAAATCGTTTTAGCCACCAACATTGCTGAAACTGGTATCACTATTCCTGATGTCACTTGTGTGATTGATACAGGAAAGCATCGCGAGATGAGATTCGATGAGAGGAGACAGCTCTCTCGTCTATTGGAAACCTTCATTAGCAAGGCAAATGCCAAACAAAGAAGAGGTAGAGCTGGAAGAGTACAAGAGGGACTTTGCTTTCATCTTTTCACTAAATATAGACACGACGAAATTCTGGCCGATCAGCAAACCCCAGAATTCCTCCGTTTATCCCTTCAAGATCTTGCCATTCGAGTCAAGATTTGTAAGTTAGGTGGTATCGAGGAGACGTTGAGTGAAGCATTGGATCCTCCGTCTGCTAAGAACATCAGACGTGCCATTGACGCACTTGTAGATGTTAGAGCCTTGACAGCAGGAGAAGATTTAACGCCGTTGGGTCTCCAGTTGGCGAGGTTGCCACTCGATGTTTTCTTAGGAAAACTTATGCTCCTTGGTAGCGTTTTCAAATGTCTCGATGCAGCAGTAACAATCGCTGCAATCCTATCTTCTAAATCGCCATTCTCTGCTCCTTTTGGACAACGACAACAAGCGGATACTGTCAGACTTGCCTTTAGAAAAGGTGATTCGGATCTTTTGACAGTTTATAACGCCTACCTAGCTTGGAAGAAAGTTTGCATGGCAAATGGCTCCGAGTATCAATTTTGTCGCAAAAATTTCCTTAGCCAGCAAAGTTTATCGAATATTGAGGACTTGAAAGGACAATTGGTGGTTTGTCTTGTGGATTCTGGGTTTCTCCCTCTTACAGAGGCGGAGAGAACTGCTCTGAATAGGTATGTTGACTGTGTTTGTTTCCTCAATATGGTCTAATTAATGCAGAACACGTTACTCGAGCCGCCGTCGACAATTTTTCGAAATACCCTTCAGAATCAATGCAAACAGTGATAACGATATCATTGTCTCTTCTGTCATTGGTTGGAGCTTCTATCCAAAGCTTCTTGTCCGGGATGGTAGGGGATTCCGTAACTGCGCCAATAATCAATCCATTAGTCTGCATCCTACATCTGTAAATAAAGGTCATCATGAGCTCAAATGGCTCTCGTACTATCATATTATGCAGGCCAAGCAGTAAGTTCCCTCTCCTCATTTTATTCAGTTCTACCACTAAGCCCAAGCAGATTTTATAATGCCCATGAAACTACAGCCGTAGAAGAATTCTCGATTGCTTTACTCTGCGGAGATGTCCGCTGCGATGTAAGTTCTATCTAAATATATCGTTGAAATTACCTACTAATCTTGATATAGATGTACGCCGGTGTCTTCATATTAGATGGTAATAGAGCTCGGTTTGCTGTGTCGGATTGGAAAACGATGCTTGCTATTAAAACAATGCGGGCTCGACTCCGTGACATACTTACCAAATCTTTCAAAACGCCTGGAAAGGCTCTCACAGCACAACAACAAAAGTGGTTGGATCTCTGGCAGAAGATCTTCTCGCAGGAATTTAAAGATAAATAGAGTAGATTGGGTGAAATTGGGATTATAAGAACGGGCCGTCATGTTTTATAAGAGCCACATAGGCTATGCTAGTACCTAAAAGAAGAGTGTAGTTTTATTAAGATACCATATATTGTATGTAATATGTACCCTTCATCGGGAAATATCCATATCTGAGTGTACTCATTAATTTCTCATATCGATGTTTTCTGTGAAGCGGACTTCGTTTCCCTCGTGGTGTTTGTCGTTAAATCTTTGATCCACTCCTTCTTTTGCATGATGCCCAAAAATTGGACACTTGACAGAGGCAGATCAGTAGCCATGTTTTAGATTTTAAGTGACAATAGAATGCTGAGTGGGCGAGGAGCGACAGTGTGGATAAAGTGACATATACTGACCTTATCACATGTGTCAAATACAAGATTCGAAGAATCTAATAAGTCAATGGAGGTGGAGAATATACAGATGGGTAATATTTGGTATTCATTTACATTTCGGTATTAGGTTTCTTTGTAGATGTGGGAAATCTAAAAATAAATCATCATGAACAATTCTAAACCTTCGGATGACGACCCTTTCAATACTCACGTTGAGCTGAAGGGTTGATCGCTGATTTTTGGCTGCAGGATCTTCGAAATCCAAGGTTAACTTGGAAATTTGTTGGTTTGATATCCGACGGTAGGGTAGGACTTCTGATGTACAGGTGGAGTTGGTGTATTAGGAACTACTGATATATCAGATTGCCGTTATTTCAATCTTCCAAGTTGATATGGGAAATTTGCGTCTGACATTAGACAATAGTGCCTTTAACATTCAAATTGTATTATGGCAACGGGCATGGTAGTTAAAATTTAACAACTATGCGTTCAATGCTTGAAGTTCGCTTTGTAACTTTGGAATTTAGCTATCTGGAGATGCCGTCGTTGTAGCTGCAGAATGCTGTAAGATCACGTATTTGACTTATATAATATTCAAAGAGTAAACTACTTAGACTTCTGAATCTGATGGCTATCATCTTGTCTCATGGAATAGACTAGTAAAAGCATTTAGTTATTGGTGTTTAGAGCTTTAGCATATACTCTCAGAAGATGCAGCTACTGATGCTCGGTTATCCCGAATAAGTTTATATACACTTGTAATGTCTTACCTGCTATTATAAATTGAATACACTAGATTCTTCTTCTTCTTCTATCGAATCTCAGAGTTGTTGTCGGGAGTGAGTCTATCATACTTTTGAGTCCTTTTGATGTCATGACACATATAACAACTCTGATTCTTGGGAATTTCAAGCATCAGTCGGGCCCCTCGATTGCTCTGCTCTTTTACAAACTTTGACAACTCTCATTTGAGTTTTCCAGTTAACTTAACTACATTCTTTCAAGTAAAATGAAGTCTTCAGTGGACTTAGATATATGATCTGGCATCAAAAAATTTCTTTATCAAATTGTCCTACGCTAACCTGGACTATCAACGAACGTTATTCTACCGCTTGATATACAACAATCAAGACTTCATATTGTCTTCTTTTGATTCAACAATTCAAAAGATATGATTGTACAATATGGTTTGCAACAATCACAACGATTAATTGTCCATCATTCATCTAAACTATCAATGACTGTGATTACCTCATCTGGTATACAACAATTAGAACAATATATTGTTTCACATCAATAAAAACAATCCATGAAGAGGAATTAGGTCTTTCTCGGTAGTTTTACTGACTCATAGTAACTAGTAGTCATTTACCGCTTTCTTATCTGTCTAATTTACATCTATTGGCCCGTTTATCCTCCATTCACTTAAATGCAGCCATTATCTGCTTTCACCTAGCCTAGGGCAAGTTCTCCTAACAAACCCACGAATATTAGACCCAATTGGCCCAGAAACCTCTACCTGATTCTCCCCAATCGGTCCATTGATTGAGATTACCATACCACCAGAGCTAGCCTCCTTAGCCGTATTTAAATCCTTCAATCCAGACGAAAAAGCCCCGGTAGTTGGGAAGCTAATCGTGATGACCTCACTAGGGCCTCCTGGAACTCGGGTAGCGGCGAGTTAGACTTGCCTAGTTGAGCTGGAGTAGCAAGAACGAAAGGCTTGGCTTTTGGTTTGCTCAGAACTCAAATTTGGTGCGACCGGTTTGGGTAGGAAGGGGATTTAAAGCATTTGCCGTGCCCGTAGCCGGAGGAGAGATAGCGCCAGAAGCCTTCAGACTCGTCGAAGGTAGAGAGTCACGGCTTGCTTAGCAAGACTGGCATCGTCAAAGTAGGCGGCGTTGTGTTCTTTATCTCGCTGATCAGTCCATGGATCTCTCTCCATGGAGTAGCTTTGGTGAGCTTCTCGGTCCTCTGTGATATGAACAGAGATTTTTGATAGTTTCTGAGCCGATTTGACCTCGTGCTTTCTAGCTCGAGTACCAGATTTCTTCGACATCTTTGCGTCGGAAGTGGTTGTTGGGAGAGATGGTGTTTGTTGATCTTTATGTGGCTCTTTAAATAAGATGGCACCGGAGGATTTTTCATTGCTAGCTTCCGAGATATTCTTAGATGCGGTAGCCGTAGCGATGGTGGCAACAGTACTGGGAGCAATTGTTGTTGAAGCTGAAGCTGATGTTGCCATGGCATTTTTTGGTTTCTTGCTCATCCATCAACCTCTCAAGCTCCTCGAGAGACATTAATTCGTCGTCGTGCATAGTATACATGTTGTTCGAAGTATGGTAGCTAATGGCAGCTGAATTGATGATACCGTAGTTCGTGAGAGATTATGTACGAATGAGAGTCAAAGAGAGGCTTTGCGACTGGAATACAAATAAACAATGTACTTGCGTATAAAATTAGTAGCAGAGATTAACAAACGAAATATTGACATCACTTAAGGATTCCTCTTGGCTCTATTGTCAATGGATTCTATAAACATCTACTTTGTTAATACGGATAACATGAGTTCTCTCATAATATTAATTCATAAACATAATAGTCACTCTATCTACTTTCAAGTGGTCACCTTTATATACTAGAAATCCCTCCATTCGTCTTCTTATTGCCCAAACACACTTTTGACTCATCAAGAGCCTCACTCCAAATTAAAACACGCGCTGAAAAGTGTACTACAATCTACTTTGAAGCTTCCACGCCGGAAACAAAGGTGAAAAAAAGAGGTGATAGTGATAGAGACGTATGGCGCATGTCACGAACATTTCTGCAAGAGGGTACATTATTATTCCGCCATTATTCGTAGACTCATGAAATCGAGTATGAAACATTGCTACTTTTTTAAATATCCAATTACCTGAAGAACATACGAGACCATTCCTGAAACCTGGGCCTTTCTCACGTACATCCCTACTGTCACCCATCAACTTCTGTCCTCAATTTCGATGGTGCATATGTTGCAGAACTAGCTTAAAGATGACATACGACCAAGCAAATGCGAATATATTCCTAGAATCTTTAAAATACTGTAAGATAATATTTGTGAGTCGAATTTGGTGCCTTCTTCTACATGCCAAAGTGGTTGAGCAGTCGCTGTGGGGCTCTGAGCTTGTCGAAGGTTATGACTCCCCATGCCCTCGATTTCCATTACTTTCAGGAGATTTATTTCCTTCCGTAGAATATACCATTATCGATGCTTTCAAATTGATTTTGTCTGCTTAATCTGTATTTAACTACTCCATTGTCGCGCCTCTTTCGTAGCTATCTGCCAGTATCTCTGGAGTGAATTTTATCGTTCCTAGTTCCGTTTCGAAAAAATACTACGCTATAGTCTTCCTCAGCATAATTCATTGACTTTTGGGGTTTCCACAGCAGGTTGAGATTGTTGATGGTTGTTCCCGAAGTTCTGCCGCCCCTTTCACAAAAATGTATTCTCGCTTCGAGGTAAAGCCTAGACATGGCATCAATATCCTTGTGTGTGACCTCTGCCATGAAATCTAACTAACATAGATGAAATCTCAATATTTTGTTGTCGCCATTTGTTTGCTTCTGTTCGTTGATTTTTCGTTGTCTTCGTTCACCATTCACTATTGCTTGAAATGAAAGAGAAGAGATTGTGATTGTAAGTGAATGCTTTGGTGGGTTCTGCAAAAGAAAATTTCTCATTAGCAAAGACTTGAGAAGTGGTGGGATATACTGCACATATTGTAAATTAAATATTGAAACGTGTGAATTTTGATGAGTTGTGCAAGCTGGTGTGAGTTGTAAGTGTGATACGCAGGATATTGGAACTTGGTGGGCACGTCAATTGTTTTGAGAAACATATTCTTTTGTGGACAAGTTAACATCTCTTGCAGTTGAGATAATATTGTGGGAGATTGGTGTAGAATAAGTAAATCTGTAAGGAAGATCAGAACTCCTTAAAATTCAAACATGGAAGAAATGATTGCCTTTGAAGTGAACATTCATATTATCATGAATCACAAGAGTGAGGTATACCTTGGTAGCCTCCTGGAGAATACCTAGACAAGGCTGAAATAGCTACTACATATTCTTATTTCAGCCTGTTGGGATTAAAATTTCAGTAGATTGATTCTCCCATAAACTACCTACTGTTTAATGTAATTACTAAATGCGCACCCCGTAAAGTCTATCATTTGACATCAAAAGAAATATATGTGACCACGCTTTTACTCGATATCGTTCAACCCATTATTCGTGGAAGGGGAAATCTTGGGCAAAAATATCCATTGGTGCATACCGTTTACGGAGACACTTTGCGCTTTCGTCCCGCTTCCCCGAGAAAATTTGAAAGCAAAAATTCAGCTAAGAGATGTAGTGAATGGACTGTTTTGGGGAGCAACATAGCTGATCATTATCCACGTATCATGATTGTTCTCTGGATCTCTAGCCCGAGGCTTTCAGTTGGTAACAATAGCGCAATACTTTCCATGAGCTCGTGTCTTTGCAATCACGACTCCTCGATCAGGGAAGTTGACTTTGTGGGCTGAGCAGTTGTTACCTCAATGTCGCGTGTTCTAGGCCGCATCGTTACTTTTTTGGCACAAGAGGATGAATTTTCGCTGTTAACATCATCTGCAGACCGAGGTATGAAGTACTTTTTGTGAAGACTTGCATTCTCTTCGTTCGACAAAAGATTGAGAAGCTCTGGCTCTGGTGCCGTGCCACAATAGGCAACATAGTCAGTCCATTCATCGAAGTTGACGTCATTCGTTGGATATGGAGGATATTCCAATGGAAAGAAACTAGGTTCCTGGGGCGACCGACTTGGATTATATGTGGAGCTAAAATGTGTATGTAAGTCCGGATGCTCTTTATTTTTGTGCGGGGACTTGGGGCGAGATTGGACAAGCTGTCGTTGAGTTGTGCGAATGGGGATTTCTAATTCAGGTAGAGAACACCCAAGAGGCTGGTGGGCTGAATTTGAAGCTAAAGATGGAGAGTCGACATTAGGTTGACCCGTCGAAAGACTGCTTTTACCTACAAAGCTCTCTTCCAGGCTACGGTTTTTCACGTTCAAAGGTGGATTTCGTGATGTAGACTCATTGTCAAGCTGAGTGACTGAGAATTGATGACTCTCTACTATTTTGTCCATTGTACTGATATTCAATAACAGATGTAAGACACATTAGATCCGATTCCAATCTCAAAAGCCTCTGCAGATGAACAATGTGGTCTTCCAGGGAAAGGTAGTTGGGTATTTGCCCCTGGTTTGCCAAACACGTGATGATACTTGGAAAGGACAAATCTAGACTTGGATCGAACTAAAGGAATCGCTGGAACATGCCTCTTGTCTTTCAGATATTGAGATATTCTTTAGCAGAAAGACAAGAATAAATAAATCCAGTATCTTAAATAACTGAGGCTGACTAGCAGGATGTAGAATAACACGGCTGCACCAGAAATGATACCATTCGGTGTACGGCAACGCATCCATATATAGAGATCCTAATTGGAATTCTTGATGACATAGTAAGGAATCATCATGAAAGTACCGTACACACATTTTCATTACATCACAAACGCACAGGCGCTGATGTACGATTTCCAGGAGTGGCCAAACAATTCATTCCAATTGCCACCACGTGTTACGCGCACTTCATCAACTCATCATGATTCACTCCTGTCTCGGCAACGGTACCACATAAGTGAAGATATCTTGATCCTAGAACAAAAAAGTCAAACATATTCGGTGGTCAAGCTGTTATATGCCTCGACTCTTACTTCTAAGATTCTTATGCTAATAATTTCTTAGGGTGGATTCTATGGATCGACAAGTCCGACCTCTTCGGAGTGTGACTATAAGCAATTGAATTAATCTGCTCTGCAGGGACAATTTCAACATCAAACCAACAATGGGACCCACTATCTGGCTTGTACCAGGGAACCAGGACAAATACAAAATTTGGTGGTGGCACGACGAGAAGACAAAATTGGTAAGAACAAATTCCCTTCCAAACAAACAGCTTGACCACTGTACAATATACATTTTTTTGCGTTTTGTTTCCTCTGGAAATTTTGATTGTCTTGCAAATTATTTCATGTCATTATTCTCGAACACTTTCTCGGTGCTGGAGGGTAATCGGTGTGTAAAAACTGACAAAAATTGTGATATGCTGCAGAATATATGCGCAACAAAGTTTTCAAGCCGCTAAGAACAACATCAATAAAAATCACCAAATCATGAGTTTGACTAAAAGTTGTGGCTAGTAAAATGGCCCCTCACAATGATCATATTATGAACCAGCAGCCATTTCCAGCACTTCGAGCACTTGCTCCTTACTAGTCAGAGGTACAGCATTTGTAGCTAACCACCTATCTTTCAAACAATTATCCGCCAGTGCATCCAACTGCTCGCTCTTTACGCCCACGTCCTTCAGTGTCCTCGGCATGCCAAGTTCGCGCACGATAGCACCCACCACATCACCTGCATCGGAAGTTTCTCTCTCCAATCCGTTTCTCTTGAGTAGGTCTTTAACGGCAGCTTCCTCCCACAAAACGTCCAGTACTTTTCTTTGTCCTCCAATAACTTTCTCGTCGTTACTGCCATGCTTTGCATTGTATTTCAATACATGCGGTAACATGATACAGCTCGTCTCGCCATGGCCAACGCCTAGCGGCCCTAACTGATGCCCAATTCCGTGGCTCCCGCCCATTGGGATACCTCTGCTAACCCCCTTCATTGCTTCCACCACCCCCAACATTTCCTTTAATCTCGCGTCCTCGTTTTTCGGATCTTTCTTAGTGATCAACAAATTTGGTATAAGTAATCTCAATCCATTCGAGAACTCCTCGTCGCTTCCGGCGCAAACCTTTTCATCGAGCGAGCAAAATCCTTCAACACAATGATCTACTGCTCGAAGACCAGTGCTAAGCCAAACATGTTGAGGAGTAGAAATACACAGGGAAGGAGATAGAATGATAAGAGATGTGCCCATCGATGGGTGATTGAAGGCCACCTTCTGATGCGTCGAAGTATTGGTCGCGCCAGCAAATGGTGAGTACTCCCCGCCAGAAAGGGATGTTGGAATGTTGATTATAGGGACGTGACATGGCTTTAGATCCGAGGTCTTGGCCTCGTCCGAGAGAGAGTAGAGTCCATCGGGAGTGGATACATTGTTTGCTAATGCCTAGTTCCGTGTTAGGAAATCCCGCAAGGATTTTTACCAGAATTGGGGGGTATAATAGCATGGGGTGGTAAATCTAGTACGCATAAAACCGCAAGCTAGAGGTCTAAGGCTACCCAAAATTTTGGGTACCAATGTTAAGCTGGAATGTATCCTGGTTATATGAACGATTTTAACATACGAATGAGATGATTTTTGCTCCGTCAGTAAGTGATCCAGCTCCAAGCGTAACAATGATATCTGCTTGTTTCTCTCGCATATCTTGTGCGATTTCCAAGACATCATCCCATGGTGTGTGTGGTTTAATTCCATACCTCACGCCCACAACCAAATCACCAAGACGTTCCTGAAGAGAGCTAAAATTGGAAGTCTTGCTGATAGAGTTCGATACAATTATGTAGACCTTTAAGGCATGGAAAGTATCTTTAATGTGATGGGCACATGCTTCAGGAAAGGGGATGCCGGTTGAAATGTGGGGCTTGGATTTTGGAGGAAATGCCGGAGTGTAGGTCTCATTAGGGGCTGCCATTGGGGCAAGCTTGTTATGAACGAGTATTGTAATGAAAAGATCGCTTCTTCAAAGCTGGGATTCGATGTTTGGATGTGATATAAGATTTTCCTTGATGTAACCGACGTTGGACGTTGACAATGATCGACTGATTATTAATCATGCATAACTCACATGTAAACTGCCGCCGAACTGCCGACATTCGGAGAATATCGCAACGTCAACCTCTGAAGATAGGTACACCATGCCATATCCTTCTTGATATTTTGCAGCAATTTGTTCTTAATGTATTTGGTGAAATAACTTGGTCCGTATGTTCGTTGCCGAGTATTAAATGACAGTTCTATCTTTTGCAAAATCTTTCACAACTCACCCTGTTTTTTTCGAAGAACAAACTTTTGGTTCTGATTAAGCATACCTATCTAGGCAGGTGGACAAGACACTCGAATGTTGCGCTGAGTGCGGTCTGCATCCTTCAAAATAGAGGTAGACACACATATTTTCTTCGAAAATGGGAGGCTGGTGAGTGTCGATCATGCTCAAAGGTCCATAACGCAATCGGTCTATCGAAGTTTGATTGGCCATGATCCCAAAATCAAGAAAGTTTTTGTCGAACCGGATAAAGAGGATTTGATCCTTCCATGTTTTGTTGCATATCTGTACCAGGGTGTGAAGAATAGTTTAAAGTAAAATCCTGCTTTATTGTTTTCTGTTGCATATCTGTACTGGGGTACAGGGATATAAGAGTGTCCAGATTTCTGGTCTAGACCATTCAGAGGTTTCCTCGTCTCTTTACGCTCGTCGGAAAAGTGACGATTAGACTAAGAGTGGGTCTAGACCCAGTACTATCCGCATGAAAGCAGTATCATGGAAATTTGTACTTTAGTTTGGTCCTGCCGAACCTGACTATACAAATTTACAAAGGGTTTGGTTCATGAGGTGCTGCTTTGCTATTATTGTGGATTACCAGTATCTGTACCTAAGCAGCCAGCAGCTGTCAAGACTTGCATAGTGCCTCTACATTGTAGAAGTAAGTTTAAGCGCAAGAAAGAATCTATTTTTCTGGAATATCAGGCAAAATGACATGTAAAAACTCGAAGAGGCAATGTATATTAATTCAGTGTCGATTTCCGAAAAATCTTCATTCGAATCGTGGCTTCCCAAAGGCCAAGATATACTTCACCGAAGCAGTGATCAACTAGATTGACTAGCTCAGTCTAGCCTACGTTCTTCGCACTAGTAATGGCTTTAAACAATCACGCAATTGTCTGGTGAGTTTCTGGACCCGCGAGTCAAAACGAAACGATCAATAACTTGAAATACTTGCACCAACCACCACCGGATTCAACTCAATTTACTTTGAACGCTACGATTATATTGCGAGAAAATCTTGACAGTATCCCTAAAGTGAGCATTTCAAACAGGATTACCTCTCTTGGGAAGTGTTGCAAGGCTTATCAATGAGTCATAATGAGACTATTGTACTTATCTTCTTCATAAAATTACGGCAGCGCTCAAATCAAAAGACGTTTCGATCCATATATGATATATTGTGGAGGACAGGGAATAGATTCCCCATCAGAATATGGATCTATAAATGGGAAGGATGATCAAACTAAAAGTAGAGTAAATGGAAAGAGCAGCCAAGCTAGAAGCAGTAGGAAAGGCTAAGCATCGACCTATGACACGCTGACATATGATCTAACGTTGATCGACTAATTTGCATTTCTGACATATCACTAAACTGAAACCCAGAACTTTAAAGGCGCCCATCATCGAGTTTTCATTTCAAAAGAAGCCGGAAGCGATCTCGAGATGATGCAAACACATTACTGATTTTAAATTCGCTAGCAGGCTTCCGATTTTAAATGAGACTCAGTACATGAATATGGCCTTGTGCATTGATATGCTGTGTAACCTATGGTCCATGACTTATCATCCATAACTTGCTGCCTTGTTTACTGACTCGGGAAACTACATCTGATGGTGCGTACGAAACGTAGAGAACCTTGAAGACTGCCAATGCAGATTGCCGCGAAATATGGGTAATTTGGCAAGGCCATTTATACTTGACTAGTTTGTGGCTTCGTTACACGAGACTCATATCAGCTACGAGCCTTTTGAAAAGGAGTCCATCTCAAACTTAACGTAAGGTCTGAATAGATTGGACTAGTGAGAGTGAGAGTTGGAAGGTTCTTCGAGAAGTGATCAGACAAGCCGTATGACATGACGCTAGAGCGATTTGAGTTTCTTTTCAGTGCCATTAAATCGAAAGCTGAAATGTAGTACAGACTATAGAAAAACTTTCGTGACTAGTCGATATTAGCTGGGCCTTCAAGTTTCGTCCTCTGGCTGCATTAATACCAGAAATTTACTTTCTTAACCTTCTTTTGGGAAGGATCCTGAGAAGAAACTTACATCCTAAAACTAGCGAGAAAAACCGAGATCAGGAAGCTTCGATGGCTCAGACTAGCTGCTCAGGATTCGTTTAAGATTTGTTAGAAACTGTTACTAGGTAGGTACTTACACCTTCCAAAAAAAAGACCCATCTGGTAGCACATCTTGGTCTAACGCTTAAGGCAAGCGCTACCGACAAAAAAACGTAGATCTTGATACTAGGACTTTCTAGTCACATAAAAATAGAGCTTGACACTCATAGCTTGATACTTACAGCGAAATAGTCTATTATGACGAATATCTTCCTGTTCCTAATGTCGACTAAGCGCCTCTTAGTCCAACCCTTAATGAACTTCAAGAAGTCGCCAACTTGATACACTACTTATCATTTGCATATATAGACCGTGGACAACCCCCGTACCTTTCAGAATTACATATTTCACATTCTACAGATAGCCGGCAACATAGAAAGAATAGACTTACATCTTATTAATCTCTCAAACATCAAATACCTATCATTCACTACCTTGACACTCGAAGATATTCGTCCGAGTTACTTAATAGTAATATCCTTAATTATAACCATTTCCGTAAGTCTCCGCCTCAATCCGAAATCATTCACCACAAAGCTCCATGATAATCTCTTGATGTCATCATCATCAGTAGTCATTGGCATTGAAACTACCTATTCATTCAACATGTATTCAATCAAGAAGAGAGTTCAAGAACAGCACAGCCTTATCTCAAAACATTCAAAGTCATATCTATTAACAGATCGATATCCTAGGTACATCTAGCCATATACTCATAGCCATGTCTTCTCCAAGTTCTGTCGCGCAAAGCTTGCAAAAGCTTCAACTGCAGCAACAAGAAGACATCGACGATGTGGATGTGGAGGATACAATCGCATCATCACTTGTGAACGACAGCGCGTAAGTCACCTCTCTATGCCTCGCATCTGCAACTTATTCTCCCCTAAATTCCCTCGGCTATGTGCAAATTTGGCTAACTCAAAACAGCGATGTAGTTGGCGCCTTTGAAAATTGTCCAGTCGATATCATCATGCAGATCATGAGCGAGCTTGATGTCGTTTCCAAAGTTTGCTTCTCGCTAACTGGTTCCCACTTCCGAAGAGTATTCAAGAAGTATTCCGACGTTGAAAAGTACATCCATGGTAGCTGTCACCCTTTAACTTCCGATACCTGCTATGCTGCTCGGCTGTCCTTACCTCTAAGCCTGCAAGTATCGACGTGCGGAAACTATATGTTGGACATGGACAAGAGCTGCTTTGACTATCTGCCACTTGATGATAGTGAAGTAGAATGGCGCCCGACTCTCGCGGACTTGCTGTGGGACGAGAGCTTCTTCTGGAGTGGTGGCGCACAATGGTGCGATGGGTGCTACAGAGTTCTGCCACCTACAAGTTGGGATCAGTGTGCAATGGAGAAGGAATTCTGGGACCACGTTGAGAGCCCCTCGTCGACCAAACTCCTGCCGCATGAATACATCACCGACCTTCTTGCCAGAGCGCTTGTCCAGGGTGTCAAGAAGCGTCGCTCGGATTATTCTTTCGTCGGTGATCCTGACAGCTTTATCCCGCAAATAAAGGCCCTCAGCTACGGCGGGCAACCTTATCAGTCTCAGAGAAACGATATTGATCTGACTATCTGCACAAAATGCAGAGTCAAGATGATCGTTACTGATAACGGTCGCAGACAAGAAGCGTGGACCTGGGGATCGAGCGGGCTGGAAGACACTGGAAAGGAGGCCGACGGAGTGGGTATGGTCGGGCACGGTAAGAATATGGGACGGATTGTGTATGCAGATCATTTGGCAGAGCCTCAATTTGAGGATAGCTGGATGTATTTCGTATTGTGGGAAGACATCCTGAGAGAATCTGGACTTTTCGTAAAAGAGTACAAGAAGGTAGAGTTGCCGTGTCCGAGAAGTAAAGTCTCGAGGACTTCTGAGTTGGCAGAGTTGGATTGGTAATTACAAAGTTGTTATCAATCAATTCAGTCAAAAGGAGGTCCCGGATACGGTATCTCTACAAGATTGAAGTCATCTACAACAAGAAAAGGAAGGGTGAAGGAGCCCACAGTCGATACCCATGGCTAGATATCGCTAGATATTCGTTTTAGCATAATCATACCCATACCCAGGTGTTTGAACATGGTCATCCCGTGCGTCTAATATGCCATCCTACATCGTCAAATCTAGAGCACTTAGGCGAAATATCGGCCGCCAGAATGTATGGAAGAAGAAGCCACACCTTCACATAATCAGGGGTCTTTATTCAGGTTTTGCGATCAGTTCCACTTATCACGAGTCGTGTCTAGCATCTAGACGGTATCTCGTCCCGACATTGATGGGGATAATGCAACAATACAAAGACAATCACAATGCAGAAATATAATCCGTCCATCAAGCTCATGAGCTTTCTGGGACCAACTGCCTTGGCGCTTGGCGGCTCCTTGGCGCTTAATCTCCGAAGTTTCTTTAAACCACACCTCGCACTATTCTCTTCCCGATTTCACGATACCCCCAACAATGGTTTCATCTGAGTGGATAGATCCACTCAATGCAACGGTGTAAGCGCCAAGCTGACGTCGGAAAAATAATGAAGCTTCGATAGCCGCCAAGCTTCCAATCACCACGTACCTTATGCACATGACGATGTAGCACAGC